TGAGAGCCAATGTGGAGTCATGGGCCTGGAGGCCTGAAGTCAAGCCAAGGGATCCGTCTCGTAGAGCTTAGCTGGAGAGGAGACCTGAGGCAAGCCAAGGGATCCGTCTCGTAGAGCTTAGCTGGAGAGGAGACCTGAGGCAGAGCTGGAGAGGTAGTGGGAGTCTTTGGGGGAGTGGAGGCGAGGAGCTGCACAACACCAGCAGAGCTAATGTGTCCTGGGGACTGGATTGAGCCAGTTGTGATGATGGGGAGAATGGGGTGGGCAGGTGACGGGGTGGGAGTCGAAAATCTAGAAGATTCAGGGGACTAGACAGAACCAGCCATGATGATGAGGACAGCGGAACAGGTAGGAGACAGGATGGGACTGGGTCGTCTAATATCGTCAGAAAGCAATGCTTTGTGTTTAAGTTGTATTTAAAGTATTAGTGCACCTCAAAATTAAAATTGTGATAATTTACTCACCCCAATGCCATCCAAGATGTTCATGTCTTTCCTTCTTCATTGGAAAAAAAATTAGGAAAATAGGAAAACATTTCAGGATTTTTCTCCACACAATTGACTTCAAAGGAACCAAATTGTCGAAGTCCAAATCAATGCAGTTTCAAAGAGTTTGAAGTGATTCAAAGGGATCTGCCCAATCCCAGCTGAGGAATAGGGTCTTATCTAGTGAAGAGATCGGTCATTTTCTAAAAAAAATTAAAATGTGTATACATTTTAACCACAATTGTTCATCTTGTGCTGGTCTGTGACGTGCCAGGCATTACGTAATTACGTTGGTTTCTGTTGAAGTCCATTGTGTCAATGTTTTCCTCAAAAAACATAATTTACTTTCCACTAAAGAAAGACATGAACATCGTGGATGGGTGGGCATGTCATTGTCATGTCAAAATGTCATTTTTGGGGCCTGTTTTAAAAAGAGCTGTTTTGGTGTGTACGACCTTAAATGTAAATGAGCTGCATATCCCTGCCCTGCCTTTGGATGAAGGCATCACTTGCATACCTATGGCAGTCGGTCTAAGCAGAATGGCTGAGAGTGAGAGACCCGCTGTTTTGTATCATTCTGCTGTACATGTTTGAATCGGAATATATAAATACCGTATTTTCCGCACTATAAGCCTTATAATCCGGAGTGCCTTTTATATGGTTCAGTTGGTTAATTGGATCAATCGGTTACTAACGCTCCGCATTATTAAATTCGCCCTCGAACTCGTGCTCGTGTCCATCTTATGCCCACTCTGTCACATGGCCAGTTCAACCTCGTATAAATCAGGTTATGTCTGTAAGTCACGTGCCCGCTCACGAGCGCTCACTCTTACTAACAGACACATGAACAGACACACTGTCCCCCGCGCAGCTGGCACGTCACAGAATGTTCATAAAGTGCTGCCTGTTCACAGTAACCGGGTCGTCTCATGTAAAACAGCCAGCTGTTGCGGTCAGCGATCCGCCGCACACGAATGAATATGAGTCAGGCTGCGAATGTAAGTTACGTGCCCGCCCCAGCATGCTCACGCTTACTAATAAACGCCTCGCCTCCGGCGCTGCGCACTCGCTACATTCCCTTTAGCCAGTGGCGGTCCGTGCATTTCACACTTAGGCCTTCTGTCCTACCTGAATTTATAACTTTTAATAGTGTATCAGCGCAAAGACTCTTCGTTCCGAATCCGATTATAAGTTATTATATTTATAAGAAACGGAGCCTCCCTTATCTTGTCGTTCAAGGGTTACAATAGTCCCTTTCAGACGTTACAATAGTATGAATGTTTGAAAAAAAATTAAGTTTCGATCATAAATTTAAAAGAAAAATTAAGAAGAAAGTCATATTGACCACGGGGAAAAAAGCATATTATACTTACCAAGATTATTTTTTTACACAAAATCCATCCTTATTTCTTTCCTCGAGAAGACTACAGGTTCTATCTGCGTTTCAGTTCCAACAATGTCGTTTCTGTCTCGTCATATTTCTAGCAGTTTTTATTCACTTTATGGCTGAGAGTGCCTGCTCGACAGAAGCACACACAGTCACCGCAAAACATGACTATGTGTACAGCTGTCCCATGCTCTCGTACAGAGTTTTGAACAAAATCAACGCGATCAGCGGGACTTTTGCCTTCAGAACCATTCATGGCATAACTTACATTAGTCAGTTCTGTTTTTATCCGGAGAGATTGAATAGAGTTCCGTATCTGCGTTTAGCTCAGGCTGAATAAGGTATTTTTTTCTGCTGGGGGTCGAGGAGGGAAAGAAACATTAATTTGTGGGTTGACAAACTATTAGGAATATATTTTAGTTTAAGCAGTTCGCTACAGATGCAGATACTATGCGCTCTGAGCATCCAATCAAAGAACGTGAAAATACAGACCTTATTAAATGCCAGCTAGATGGCCCCGCTGCAGTCAAAGCGAAATCTGATTGGCTGATTAAATCTTATGGATCCGTTTCATTGCCATTCATTTTAAGTTACAGACGCCGCACTGTCGATTCTGAAGGCCTCCGGGCAGATTTATTTGACCCTGGCAACGCATGATGGCTGAAATATGATTGGATATAAGCTCGCCTCTAACATAAAAACACACTACTAGAAGCAGCGCAACCAAGAGAAAAGCTGTGATATTAAAAGAACGAACTATTGGGGATAATTTAATTCTCATTCTTGGAAAAAAAATATATTAAAGTGGAAGTCAGTGATTCTGATCGTGTTTAGGCCAGCAGAGAAGGCCTTGCTGGCCCTGACGGCCAACCGCTGCCTTTAGCACATCTAGTGGATGCATAACGCAAACCCAGTCAAACGTTTGACTGCAGTATACCGGCTGTCGTTAAAACAGTGGAGGATGGTGTACAGATCACCGAGGGCGGGGTCTATGCCACAACCACACTGTCAATCAAACCCCTTGCTCAATTCTACGTCACAAAGCACTGAATCTTAGAACAGCTCGTGCTGAGAGTGCATTTGATTTATTGAGATTGGCATTCATATTGAGATTGCATTTATATTTATTTTGAGATTGACATGATTTATAAAATGGCAATTCTTTTGCTTATTCCCACAAATATACATTGGCTTATCTTACTATATGAAGAGTTCAGATGCAAAAGCCTCTAAGTGCCATTTGAAATTTTCTTCTAAAATGATCATTTTTATCAAGCTTGTATATTTAAGTTCAGTAAATTCACTTAAAAATGGCAATGAAGATTACCTATTAATTGTCATTTAAGTGAAATTACTGAACTTAAATATACAAGCTTGATAAAAATGGTCATTTTAGAAGAAAATTTCAAATGGCATTTAGAGACTTTTGCATCTGAACTCTTCATATTTTAATATATATATATATATATATATATATATATATATATATATATATATATATTAAAATATACTCATTGATGATAATGAGTGTATAAGTTCATGACTATTCCACAGAAAATCTTTTGGCATACAATATGTACTAGCCTATATTAGTAACTCCCCACAGCACTCTCCAAAACTTCATATTTGTGGATATCTCCAGAGAAACCTTTCCTATGGCCACTCGTGTGCCTTTATTCAAACCCTATCTCTTTGTCTGTCTCTTCCTTCCTTCTCACTTCATACATTGGCCCTGTAACCAGTCCAGCATGGAGGGAATGCTTGCAGCAAAAATGACAAAATAGCTGGAGTTGAGTTCATCCTCAGACAGCTCTTCTCTTCAAAGCTAACAACAGCAAAAGCAATTGAACAATGTGATAACTCAACAGGATGAAAGAACAAAGCAGTATGTGTCCTCTGAGTCTTTGCCTGTTTCTAAGTTTATCCCCTTATAGTGTGACTCACTCTTGAGTGACATGGATGCATGGCAGTGACAAAAAGTGAAGCATCTTGCATCTTATTTACAGTAGATCCAGATTTACCACCTAAACCAAACAAGATGGGAGGGAAACTAACAGCAGACACTTAATCCAGTGACAAAAACTGGTGAAGACGACCAAACGTGGATATGTTGCAAACTCAAGGTAAACAGCTTTTTCTGAGCAGAGAAGACTTAAATATTTCAAAGCTCTGACGCACAAGCGGATGTTGACGAAAATGAAAAGCGAACTGATTATAACCCGCATTTAATTATAAAAATGCCACTAGGCTCACCTACCGGTTTCATTCAGCCGATAAAAGGCTTTAAAGCGATTAAACACAATTGTGCTATCGTTGTTGTCTAAAATATGTCCCGCAGTTACTGTCTTCCAAGCGAGAAAAATATGCGCCCCAAACTCCGCGTTCCGCGCGCACGCCAGCAGCGTGAATGAATTTGACTATTTTAAAATGTTACGCTTTAGCATAAATCTATAAGATAGCTATCAAATCCAAATTCCTAACCTTTTGACAAATACGAATTGAGCACTGTCACGCTGATTACAAAATAACATGCTAAACGACTTTAGCAGTTTTGGTCATTTTGCATTAACGAAACCATGTTAAAGGGATGATTTAGGCTACCCAAAATTTCTGTCACAACTTATTCAACACAATGCAGTTTAAACCCTTTCTGACTTCCGTGGGATAGGGGGTGTTAGGCAGAATATTAGGCTAGTGATTAAGGCGAGCAATTACCATTCACTTTCGTTGCACTCTTTTCCACATAATAAAAGTAAAATATGACCGAGTCTCTTTTTCCCCACAGAAGAAATTCAGTCATAAGGGTTTAGAATTAAATAGCTACATGAGGGTAAATGAAGAATTTTCCTTTTGGGCGAACCATTCTTAAAAAGAAAAAAAAGAAAAAATACATCATGGGAACTGATAAAATGTTCTACATTCTCACCAAGTTTACTTGTTACGGACAGTGTTTACTATAGTTCACGACTGACAGCATATAGCCTAATCTATACTTTTTTTCTCTTTTTTTTTTGCTTGATCACAATACCACGAGGTCAGTGTTCACAAAAGAAGCTGAGCAATTATACTTTTTCAAAAGTTATTGCAATCATAAAATGTATTAATAAACTGAATACAGTGGACCTTACCTTGCGTGATCAGGGCAATTAAAAGAAAAAACAAAGTCACTCTCCCCGCAGAATTCATCGAGCTTCGCAGTTAGGGAGTCCGTCTCCTTTTCCAAAAGAAAGCAACAAATTCGTGAATGAATCGAGAAGGACCAACCTGTAAAAAGGATGGTTGCGGATCCCGGTTGTGTGGCTGAGTTGTGCTTTTTGCGAGCAGAAAGCGGGTGAGGTGGATTTGATTTCGTCCCTCCCCCTGGGCGCGTACATCCTTCCCCTAGTCTTCAAGAAACTGTCATTAATGAGACGCACAATCACAGAGTCGTTTATACAGCCATTTAAAGCGGTAATTCATGCAAACATGATAATTATGTTATAATTTACTCATCGTCGACGTCCTGCAAGATTGTCTGTAGAAAACAAAAGAACACATTTTGGAAAAATATAAGCCTTCTATTTGTTTGCATTGCCAATGAATGGTGACTGAAGAAACACAGCCTTAAAAAGATGCAAAATCAAAGTAGGTAGTCCATGAACAATAACTATCTTGTAAATCAATACGATAGCTTTGTGTGATAAAGCAAGTCGAATCATTTAGATCAGTTTTGTAAACTCCCTTTTAAGCAGATTTATTGATATTCCGAATCAAGATCCATTCCATAAACTCCTAATTCTTATCAAAGTGCCAAATTTTTCACGACTTCAATTTGAGCTATTATGCATGGCTACAGAACTTTGTTTGGACAACTTATAATACTGTAGCCTACTTTGTGTCTACAGTATCATACTACAGTATTATATGTGTACTTTATTTTATTTGTATTTTTTTGTTTGTTTTCTTACATCTTCAGTCATCATTTATAACTGTAAAAACAAATCCTAATATATTTCTCCAGTGTTGCACACAAGACAATTAAAACATATTTGGAACATGACTGTAGTCATGACAGAATAACTTTAAAGGTTTTTTTAAGGCTACTTCATGATATAGTATAAATGTAAAATGTGCTCAGTTGCATCTTTGTGTAGTAACAACCAGTTGCATTTAACAACATATACATTGTACTTACTACTTGAACTCTTCCAACATGTTGTCATCACCCTAGGCAAAAAATTTGAGAGAAACAAGTCCGAGGTTTATTTCCTTTAATTGCAAAATGGAAGAGGCTCTTTGAGTTGCATAACGTTTTGTGTCAAGTTTTAAAAGCAGAGCAGTCGATAGACTTCGTGGCTGGTGGAACTCAGCAGGTGACTAACCAAGTGCCATGGGAAAAGCCTCTAGAATATTGATTTAAATTTAGCCATAAAACTTTGAGTGTTATTTAAAATGTGTTTTAAATCTCATTTTATTTATGCAGAGCAAACAAAAAAAATCCCAGGGAGCAGCTCAAGGTCTTCAATCTGTGTGAATCCATATTTAACTTTCAAACGTATGTATAGGCTAAAGGGACACACATGGCGCAGCAGCTGTTGTTGTGCTCTTGTTTTCCCAACAAAAGGCTGTGTTTATCTGTGTATGTTTGCTGTGATGATAATGAGAGATGGACACTCTGATGTTTCACTGATGTGCACAAGCAAAGAGACCGTAAAACTACAATCATCATGTGCAAATGGCTAGAAAACAGAGAGAGAGAGAGAGAGAGAGAGAGAGAGAGAGAGAGAGAGAGAGAGATATTTGACCTTATTTAAAGCCTTTGTATAATGACAGGATAAATATAAATGTTTTAATTTCATGAAGTGCTAATAGCAGCATACCTTTTCCCAAAAATATGATAATGTATAAGATATCTTGTCAATTATCAAGCTTATCTGTGTTCGGGTTGCTGTCTTTGCTTTATTGGTGGATGTTTCAGTTTATTTGGCTATATGCTCTATTTCAATTAATTTAAAAGCTTAATTGGCGTAATAACTTTGCCAAATGTTGATAATTATAATAGATAAGTTAACATACAATAAATATATTTATTGCATTTCCCATTCGTTGCCCTTTTCATTTGGCTTTGTATACCTAGTTGATATGTTTTCACATCCTGCGTTTCACAGGTATAGGAGTTTGTTTGTGTTAGATTTTCATGTGGGGGAACAGTCTGTGTTGATTTTGTATCTCTCTCTCTCTCTCTCTCTCTGTCTCTCTCAAAGTGCATACGCTAGAGGGAGCAGGTGCTGCAAGAGCCTGAGCCCTGTATCAATTGTTTTACATAATTAGTTCAATCAAGGGTTTTTGTTTTTTTCCTTCTCACACATATTTCCATTTAAATTAAATAAATTCAGTTTAGGTGATTATTTCAGCAAATTGTATTGAACTAGTAAGCTACAATGAAAGAGTCATAGGCAGCATTTACAAAACATGCTTGGCATAATATTTTTTTCATAAATTGTTGCATTCTAATCATAACACAAATCTTCATGTTAGCACAATACAGAGCATATACATTCAAAAGTTTTATCAGTATACACTCTTAAAAATGACGGCTCTAAAATGTTTTTTTGTTTTGCAGTGACACTCAGTGAACTCAGTAAAGAGATTTTAAAAGAACATTTTTTTAGATTGCCATCAGACAGAGATAGATAGATAGATAGATAGATAGATAGATAGATAGATAGATAGATAGATAGATAGATAGATAGACAGATAGACAGATAGATCTCAATTTTTACTAATTTGACTATTATTATAACTCCATTATTAATTTAACAGCAGTTGCAGCAGTATATTTTTTCTATACTATGGGAGAATTAGACCATTTTATGGCTACAGCACTGCCGCTGTCCATGGTCCTAAACACTGAGTTGTGGTTGAAGCCGTGTCTATTAAGCTTTCCCTGTTTTTGAAAATGTAGGTGTCTGTAAACATAAACTGACTTATCATTAGGTTGATACTTAAAGGTTGGCAGATACTAATGATACTTTGTAGCTTTATGATTCTTACAATATTTTTAGCTCTTTGCCTTCAATGGGCTCTATGCACAACTTACTTCCGCATTCTGTGAAACAGGTCGCATCGCTTCCGGTCCAGGGGCCTCATGTATAAACGTTGCGTACGCACAAAATGGGCATAGAAATATGCGTACGCATTTTTCCACGTGCACATCGGGATTTATAAAAAATAAACTTGGCGTAAATAAGTGCGCACCGTAAGGATGCTCTTGACCGTGCGTACGCACTCTTTTAGAAGATTATGGGTTTTGGCGACACCGATGGTGAGCTGGAGTCAAATGTCTTTTTGCTTACTATTAGACAGAGAATCTAAAGAAAATTATACATCTACAGAAAGATAATACAAATATAATTTCACAAACCTATCATGAAGCAAACATCCATCCCTTCTTAAATGACCGCGCCAGCACGCGCGTTGGGCCGTTTGGTGAAACTGACGCACATATAGCCTATAATCTAACGGCAGATGGAGTAAAACCGTAAATCTTCATTATGAGTCCAAATCATAAATACAGTCCATATTCACAATAATAGTTTAAATAAATAAAAGAATGGTACTATGTTTTACTTCTGATATAAACATTTAGATTAAATATGCCATTCTCATTAATGGAGTTAAACTCTTAAACTACATGAAATCATTACTGAGAAGTTACAATATATATATATATATATATATATATATATATATATATATATATATATATATATATATATATATATTCAATAAATAGAAATAGACCTATTTGTTGTGGATACATTGCTTTTGAACACTTTTCTTCTGGCATGCTGTGTTTTAATGTTTTAACCAGAGATTGTCTGAGAAAACTGTTTCGTGCAAATAATGCACAACCATGTCTATCTCTTCCATTAAAATCTCTTCCATTATCCATTAAAATATAAATCAATTAAAAATACTATTTGGCCAGTGGAAAAGATTGAGAAAAACTTTCTCTGAAATGTATTTAACACTATTTGATTTATTCATTCAAAAACAAGGCAAGGATATAGGCTACAAAAAAAAAAATGTTTGTAATAATGTGACGGCACATCCGCATTTCATATTTTCCTAACGTCTTGTACCGTTAAACTTGGTATCACGTGGATGAATAATCATATGCAAATGATATGCAGATGAGGATATGCATAGTAAAACTAGGCGTTGTAATCTCCATATATGGTTATTTCGGGGAGGAGACGCACGTGCGCATAATCTCCCGCTGACTGGGATTTATAAAGTGAATTCTGCGCAGGTTCTGGCGTACGAACGGTTTTATAAATCTGAAAACTTTTGTGCGTACGCAAATTCTGCCTTATGTGCGTACGCACACTTTAAGGATGAAATCTACGCAAAGTTTTATGCATGAGGCCCCTGGTCTTTTGTATGTGCTTCATGAAATTTTTTGTGGTTTTACTCAGGATAACTTATAAGGAGCAAGCAAAGATTAGCATAACCAATGTCCCTCACATGTGCAGATTGATATTTAAACGTTTTATATTTTTTCTTCTTCACAGTAACGTTTAGATATTTAAATGAATAAAATGCCAATAGTAAAATGAACTAGGTTAGCTGTTTACCTTAAAAATCCATAGATATCGTAGTCAGGTCTTACGGCCATTAACACTTTCTCTGTCAAGCGGATGCGATGAGACCTGTTTTTCAGTTTGGTCCGTCCCGACGCTCGACATAAAGCCTTAGACAATAAAGTGAGTGGTGTTTAAATGTGAGTGGATCAAAAGTGTGAGTGGATCAAGACATGACTCCAGCCTATATCTCTAGGAGCACTACAGCTCTAATGTCAAAAATGACAACACAAATCTAATTTCATATATGCAAAAGCAGTATATAGTTTATCATGATGTGAGAAGTGTTTGAATAAGAAATGTTTAATCCTGTCACATAGGGCTTTGTGCCTTAAATACTGTTGATGTTCTTTTGCCACTAAAGGGAAAACTTTTAATGTACTGATGTTATTGTTAAAAGGAAAATCCATCAGAAAATACAAATCATGTCATCATTTACTCTCGTAAATGAAACTTGTGTCATTCCAAACCTCTTGGTAAACAAACTGTATTGGTTCCCATTGACTTCCATTATGGACAAAAAAACAATGAACGTCAATGGAACCAAAACTGTTTACCCAAATTCTTCAAAATATGTTCTTTTGTATTCCACAGAAGAAAGAAAGTCATACAGTTTTGTAAGGACATGAGAGTGAGTAAACTTACTCAAATGTTCTCAAACTTACTTAAAATTAAAAACAATATATATATATATATATATATATATATATATATATATATAAACACTATACTAATATGCTATATAAATAAAACTATATTAACATTGGAGTTTAAGAAGTTGGTTTACAATCTGATATTGTGCTGTTTTCTTTTTCAAGGCTATACACACTCTCAGTATTTGTAATAGACTGCCATATGTGACCCTGGACCCCAGAATCAGTCTAGTCGCACGGGTATATTTGTGGCAATAGCCAACAATACATTATATGGGTGGTCAAAATTATTGATTTTTCTTTTATGCCAAAAATCATTAGGATGTTAAGGATCAGGATTAATGATTAGGATCATATTCCATGAAGATATTTTGTAAATTTCCTACTGTGAATATTGTGAGTGGATTTAGCAAAATCACAAACATGGACAACTTTAAAAGTGATTTTCTCAATGTTTAGATTTGTTTGCACCCTCAGATTACACATTTTCAAACAGTTGTATATCGGCCAAATATTGCGGTTTACAATCTCTGTCAAATTGAACTAAAACTACATTCTCATTCTTTGCCATTAGGATTCAGAAGTGGATTCATGGGTGATGTGTCCATCATAAATCAGCAGTGGAACTAGTATTGCTCTATGTTTTTTTTTTCTTCTCTTTTGCTCCTTTCCTTTTTTTCCTCCATCTTTAATTCATGGCTTCCTAAAAGCAAGACTTGGTGACTCGTAGAGCCATTAATGTCTCACTCTTTTCTCTTCTCTCCCTACCCTTCTCTCTCGAATCTGCGTGTTTGCTTTTCCTGTCTCTCCAGTCCCCACCCACCATGCCATATCCCAAACACTCCTTTAAAAGCTTCTTCTATCTTTGGAACCGAATTGCCATCTTGTAGTGCATATTAAAAATAGAAAAAATAAAGTTGCATTCCTCAATAGGACTTTTATGGCCTTGTAAATTATTCACCTCACATATCTACAATACCTAGACGATTGTACCTGAGTGCATTTATTCTTCACTACTAGCAGGAATATCTGGAATCACAATTATCCATTATGGGTGCATTGCTGGCCTGGTGTTGGGTAGAAATCCAGACAGAGACCATCATCACAGCCTCTGACAACCCCACAAACCAAATGCTCCTGTCAAGATCTTGGTAAATAAAAACAAAAATCTTGTATATGTCTCAGAATGTCTTTTTTTGTGAGTGGATGCAGCAAAATCGACAACATAAATGGACAACTTTAAAAGCAATATTCTCAATGTTTAGATTTTTTTGCACCCTCAGATTACAGATTTTCAAATAGTTGTACATCGGCCAAATATTGCCCTATCCTAGCAAACCACACATGAATGGAAACCTTATTTATTCAGCTTTTAGATTATGAATACTATGTAAAAAGTTAGATATACATCATGATTTTACCGTGGTAAATACTTGATATTTTGGTGTAAATTAGGTTTACCATGGCAATTCATCCTACATTTAAGCAGAAGTGTGTAGATAGAAGAGGGATTATCTGAAAAGGACTCGCACAACCAGCGAAACCTGCAGGACGACATGTTGCGACAGACAGACAGGACCGAAGAGGAGGTTTTTTGCACATAACGTATGGTTTAAAAGAGGAAACAGTAGGAAGATAAGACTGAAGAGTAAAATAAAGTGTGCAGTGACTGAAGCTCATGCAAACTAGCATGCCTAGCTTGCTTCAAACGAGACGCACTCGTTCGCCTCAGGCTAGCGTTTCATGCTAACAGCCGGACACCATTAAAGACAGGACAGCTTGTATTCAAAGCCGATAAAGCACATCAGGTGATGTTTTCTGGCAGAATTAAAGGCAGGATTGCGAGATATTAAACATGCTAGTCAGAAATGACTTTTTATCTGTGGCAGAAAGAAACTTTCAATCAATTTTGTTTTCATAGATTTTTTTTAACGAATGTGTTAAAGCGACCTGAATTGTGTTACCTAAAATTAAAAAATAAAATATATATATATATATATATATATATATATATATATATAAATTGCACAATATCACCGTTTTAAAAAAAAAAAACCCTATAAAAAGTGCAATATAAATAAATGTGACTTGACTAATTCATCTAAAAATAAGTTCAGTCATTTACTGAATCTATTCAGCCGATCTCCGGTTCTGGCAGTAGCACTTTTAGCATAGCTTAGCATACATCATTGAAGTGCACTAGACCATTAGCATTTCTAAGAAAAAAAAATGACCAAAGTGTTTTTATATTTTTCCTATTTAAAGCTTGACTCTTCTGTTGTTACATCGTGCATTAAAACTGACGAATTGCGATTTTCTAGGCTGATATGACTAGAAACTATACTCTCATTCCTGAATAATAACAGAGACTATTTATATTTATATACCATTTACTATATTTAGAGATATATATTTACAGATATGATCAAGCTGAAAGCAACAAGCAATCATTATTAAAGTTCAAAAGGGCAAACAGTTAAAGTTATTATGCGAGTTAACTCGAGAATGTGCAAGGTTGCATTTGTCATCCATCACCGTGACATCAAGTGGACTTTTAAAGCTGAAATAATGAGTGGATTAAGCTTGGAAAAATGAGAGTAATAACATGGATAGCCTAGAACTTTCTTGTCGGTGGATTGTAATGCATCAGTCAGGTAACGTTACAAGGAAATGAGACAACGACAACTAAAATTAGGTAAGACAAAAAGTTTTATTTTTCGAAACTCGTGTCGGGTCCAGTAGGGTTTGTGTCTTCCTGTCGGGTTCGGGTCCAGTTTTCAAATAATAGACGGGTCCAGGTCGGGTCCGGGCAGTACATTTATGCCATTTCTCGGGTCTGCACGGGTCCGGGTCCAACTTTTGAAATGAACGACGGGTCCGGGTCAGATTAAATGTGGATAATCTGAGCCAATGAGTAAGAGTGGTTGAGCCTTGTAGATATCTGTATTTCTTCTGCAGCAACTTAACAGGGTAAGTGTGTTTTGCAAGGCTCAGTTCTTTGGCTGTAAAAGCTCTTTCAATGGTGAAGGATTTGTTTGGCTGAAATGCAGAAGCTACTGAGAATGAAATGTCTCTTTTCACATTCTAAATGTCTCTTTTCACATTTGACTTCAAGACAACATTGTGAGATCTGGTGGTCACGGCCACACCTAAAGCACGTCTGATTTGACTTCAGCCAAGACTCCACTTGATCTTGATTCAGCAGTTTGAAATTAGCGCACTGATTGAAGTAATGCTGCAGTGTTGCAGAAGGGGCAGTACTTTGTTGGTTTCTCCTTCTTGACTGCTGTAACAATTGCTAGTTTACTCTGTTCGCCACCATCCAAGACAGTAGCAAATCATTGAACCGGCTTGCAATTCCTCTGCTGTTCTCTCTGTGGCTGAGAGTAGGCTCTGCTTACATTACAAACGTTCGTTCTGTGACTCATCCTCTTGTATTCTGAGCTCATATTCAAGTTCTATCAGTGTTGGAACTGGGTTCTGAATGGGGTTAACAAACCTTCTGAAGTTTGCTTTAAGATCATGAGACAACTTGACAAGGAGATGTGAAACATGTGACCCACATTTGAGCTCTGTCCATCCTTTAGCTCCAAGTTGGTCCAGCATTCCAACTCATGCACGCACATTGAGGACAAACATTCTAAAAGTGTCACCACTCCTGATTTTTGGGCCATCTATCAATTCTGCAATTCTTTGTAGTGCGAGTTGATGTGGTTGACCATAAAGTGCAGTTAGAGACCTCATGGTGTTGGTGTATGGGTACCAGCCGTTGACGTACGAGTCTGCAATAAGCAAGGCATCCTCCTGTTTCAGATGATCAACGAGTATTTGGTGCTTGAACTGGAGAATTTGCTACAGAACGTTTCAATTTTGAGTCGTGCAAACTCTCTGGGATCTTCACTGCAAAAATGAGGAATGGTGGGGATAGGACCTCTGTAGGTGGGCTCTACATGAGGATATGGAAGAGAAGGAGGGCGCACTGGGTGGTATGGCTGATATGTCTCAGGCTGAGCGTAATCTGCGTACTGTCGCTGGGTCAAGAAGCTTGATTTGTCTGTAGGATTAGGAGCTGATTGACCATAACTGTCTGAGTGTCTCTCATGTGCATGGTGAGCTAATGTATCTTTTAGAGTAAGTCTGTCATCTTGATAGACTGGACTTGTAGCTGGAATCCCATGATAAGGTTGCTGATAACCGCATGGTTCAGTGGAAGGGAAATAGCACACGGTTTTGCAGTTCAGACTATGATCTTTATAAGTCCCATACATAGCTGCCGTCTCTTGACTGTAGTCCTGAGGCATAAACTGAACAGCTGCGGGATATTGGTTAAGATGTTGAATCAGAAGCAGAGATGTTCACAAGTCTTTTTTGGAAGTCCAAGTCAAGTCTCAAGTCTTTGAGGGGCAAGCTCAAGTCAAGTCTCAAGTCTTTTGCCACAAGTCCAAGTCAAGTCTCAAGTCAAGATCTTTTTTGTCAGTGGACCTATAGTTACGGCCATGCCTCTGTGGTCTGTGTTGTAGTAACCATGTGGTCCATCTCTGTGCCTAATAACAGGTTGAGGATATGTAGCATCTTCTTGACGGGCTAGCATGTGTTGGGATTGAGTTGGTTCATAAGAGAAAGGATGACTTGAAGTTAGCAGAGTTGCCGAGCCTGGTAGTCTCAGGTCTCCTAGGTTGTCAGTGAGACAATAAATCTCTTTGTGACAGAATTAGAATGCAGAAGGTCACCTCGTGAATCTACAGACAGTGCCCTCATGGGCTGAGGAGAATCGTCTTGATCTCTAGGCAGAACTGGCCTGCCCTCAGTGGCTGCTGTATATGGACTTGAGGAGAGAACTCTCTGATCTGCATTATTCACCTTGGAGAAGTCAGAGTACGGGGCATTGGCCGCGGCGGTGACAAATCTTGATATGTCTCCACATACGAACTCCTCTCACTTGATCCAGTGCTTGTACTTTTCGTTAGTTCTGGTCCGCTTTCAATACATGTGAACTCTTTAAATGCAGGCCTTTTACCAGGTTTTCCAGTGGCACCAGTTGTAGGATGTTCATCAGAATGTAGTAACTGATGTGGCACTGTGTAATCAACATAGAGGTCATCCAAGTATCTTGGTGGGATGACCTGTCGACGTGGTCGAACCACTGGTGGCACTGACGTAGCCTGTCTTTCTGTTCTAGACATGGTAATGCTGTAGTAGCTGTCTGCTCCGGCTCGAAGGACCAAATTTTGTATGAAAGTTGTTGAGGTGCGGATCTTGAACTGGGTGACAACCGCTACAGATTGTTCCACAATAAAGGTTTTTTTTACTCTCTTCTTTCGATTCATACATCAGTATGGGTGTGGTTCTATCCAAGTCGTCCTCAGACCAGCCTTCCATCATTGCCTCCAGGCATCCTGATTCTCCATGCATCCGGTCAGTTCGTTGGTGCTCTGGGCTCTAAAAATGAACAATAATGAATATAAATACAATGAATCAGAAACAGTAATAACTGAACAATATAAAAGTAATGCAATGGCATGAAGATAGAGGTATTATACAAGTCCAGCAGCTGTAAGTTTCCTGAGGTTTTTTACACATTCACTTTAAATTAACTATCAGATGAAACCAAATTGAATATTTCCACATAATCAAAAGGTAATATTTAAAGTCTAATTCAGCGTGTTTTATGCTGAAATGAAGAATGTACGATCAAGCTTACATGTGCTCCCCTCCAAGAGATATACAGATTTCTTTGTAATGCACACCATTGCAGATTTTGACACCATTACATCTGTGAGAGAAAGTCCAAACAAACAGTGAAGAATATCAACTTTGTTGCTAAAAGTGGATGTCTTGTAAAGATGATGGAGTATATGGTTCAGATCAGCCAATAGCTCACCTGTTCCCTCCTCAGTAACATTTACAAGAAATGTGTCTTGCATTTGGTCTTCAAATTTGGTTTTGAAAAACACTGACACATCAACAGTAAGAGAGGCACAGCCCGTGGTATTCATCTGGTAGGAGAACAAAGACACAATTAAGTCAAGCACAGGCAAAAGGAAAAACCCTCAGCAGTAAGGCAGGAGTCACACACCTTTGCGGTTTGAGTCAGGCACTGTCTGATCAAATCATGAAGCAGACTGTATGGAAATGGATCACGGCACACTTCCACTAAGGCTTGACCAGGTACAGGTTGGCCATATGTACATCTGGGAAACATCATAACAAGATAAAGAACTGACCAACCACAAGACAAGAAAATAAAGCATCACTCACTTGGCACAAGACTCAACTTTCAGTCCCATAACTGCAACGCTGTAGGTCTGCGGTGCGTATACGGTCACGTCAAACTTGGGCAAAACTAAACCAGAAACAAAGTGCTTTAGATTAAGGCCTCAGATTTGTCATTGAACTTCCCTTACACAACAACTTACCGAATTTTTTCCACCTCAAACTCGGGAGACTAGTGTTGGGACTCTTCACTCCATGGCTACTCCATTCTGCGGCGCCTAGGTCTTTGTGACGGACGGACGCACGGACGGACGGACGCACGCACGGACGGACGCACGGACGGACGGACGAACGCACGGACGCACGGACGGACGGACGCACGGACGGACGGACGCACGGACGGACGCACAAAAATTCAGGCCCTTGTACTTCAGACACTGGCGTAAACTGAAGTAGCATTCTAATCAGAAGTGCCACACACTGAAATATTCAGATTAAAAGCCCAAACAAAAAACCTGATTGAGGGACACAGACAGCCTCTCAACTCTCTGATCTACCACGCAGAGATCCTGCTTGAGCAGAAACTGTTTCCCTCCGCAGGAACCGCCGTAGCCGGAGAAAACTGCAGAGACACCTGGAACAAGGACCAACAAGCTGTAGGACACACACCAACATTCCCAAATTGAAAAATAGCCACATCATACAGTACCCTCTTCTGGAAATACATTTCAGTCCCAAACGGCACACTAGCAGCAACTACATTCTCACTGGGAAGAACGCTGTAGACCAGAATCTGCACTGCTGGAGCCAGATCAACGCTGACAGACAACTGGAACGTCACAGAGCCACTTGTGACTGCATCACCAGCCTTTGCTTTAACCATCTGAAATCCATGGAGGATGATCACTCCTTTGGATAAGACCTGACAGAAGACATAGGTGTGCAAGTTGTGGAACAAACAGACCAGCAAACTTAACTACAAAACTAATGTCCACTCACCATATAGATTGTCAGCGCTGTAGCTACCAGCCTCTCCAACAAATGAATACGCCACGGTCACTGGAAACAAAGCACCACATTTGAGCGGCTGATTGAACTTCATTATAGTTAGGAGAAACAGGTAGGAGAAGCTGAACAAACCTTGTATCTGTAGTGAAGTATGGCGATTTAGAACCATAAAAAAAACCTCTGGATTAGCACTCGCCTGGGGAAGATCAAACTTAATCAGTATCATGCTAGAAAAAGTCTGAATTTTTACAAAATACAAGTCGTACCACCAGATTCAGATCAGCCTTAAGATTAGCAGTGTTTAGGGAGAACGCAGCCCGTCCATTCTTGTTTGTGGTTCGATTCAACAGCAGTTTGTTGGGCCAGTTGCTCCCCTCCAAGAGATATACAGCTTTGTTTATAAGGGACACCATTGCAGATTGACACCATTACATCTGCAAGAGAAAGTCCAAACAAACAGTGAAAAATGTCAACTTTGTGGCTTAAAGTGCATGTCTTGTAAAGATGATAAAGAGTATATGGTTGAGATCAGCCAATAGCTCACCTGTTCCCTCCTCAGTAACATTCACATTTACAAGAAATGTGTCTTGTATTTGGTCTTCAAATTTGGTGTTGAAAAACACTGACGCATCAACAGTAATAGAGGCACAGCCCGTGGCATTCATCTGGTAGGAGAACAAAGACAAAATTAAGTCAAGCACAGGCAAAAGGATAAAAAAAATAAAATGAATAAAAAAACAAACAACTTACCAACCACAAGACAAGAAAAATAAACCATCACTCACCTGGCACAAGACTCAACTTTCAGTCCCATAACTGCAACACGTTTACAGTCACGTCAAACTTGGGCAAAACTAAACCAGAAACAAAGCGCTTTAGATTAAGGCCTCAGATCTGTCATTGAACTTCCCTTACACAACAACTTACCGTATTTTTTCCACCTCAAAAACTTGGGAGACTAGTGTTGGGACTCTTCACTCCATGGCTACTCCATTCTGCGGTGCCTGGGTCTTTGTGAAGGATTGGACGGACAAACGCACGCACAGACAAACGCACGCACGGACGGACGCCCGTCCTTCCGGCCGTCATATTAAAAGATTACAACACAAGACTACATTTTTCCATTTTATCTTTAAGCCACGTACCAATTTCTAGAGCAAAAAATCTAACTAACAGACATACCGACACTGAAGTCGTGATAAAAATTCAGGCCCTTGTACTTCAGACACTGGGATAAACTGAAGTGGCATTCTAATCAGAAGTGCCACACACTGAAATATCCAGATTAAAAGCCCAAACAAAAAACCTGATTGAGGCACACAGACAGCCTCTCAGCTCTCAGACGTCTTCCTGGCTCCATGATCCGGATGCTCTGATCAACAGCACTGAGGCAACACAGAGATCCTGCTTGAGCAGAAACCGTCAGAACGTTTCCCTCCGCAGGAACCGCCGTAGCCGGAGAAAACTGCAGAGACACCTGGAACAAGGACCAACAAGCTGTAGGACACACACACCAACATTCCCAAATTGAAAAATAGCCACATCATACAGTACCTGGTTCTGGAAATACATTTCAGTCCCAAACGGCACACTAGCAGCAACTACATTCTCACTGGGAAGAACGCTGTAGACCAGAATCTGCACTGCTGGAGCCATAATCAACGCTGACAGACAACTGGAACATCACAGAGCCACTTGTGACTGCATCACCAGCCTTTGCTTTAACCGTCTGAAATCCATTGAGGATGATCACTCCTTTGGATAAGACCTGACAGAAGACATAGGTGTGCAAGTTGTGGAACAAACAGACCAGCAAACTTAACTACAAAACTAATATCCACTCACCATATAGATTGTCAGCGCTGTAGCTACCAGCCTCTCCAACAAATGAATACGCCACGGTCACTGGAAACAAAGCACCACATTTGAGCTGCTGATTGAGCTTCATTATAGTTAGGAGAAACAGGTAGGAGAAGCTGAACAAACCTTGTATCTGCAGTGAAGTATGGCGATTTATAACCATAAAAAAAACCTCTGGATTAGCACTCGCCTGGGGAAGATCAAACTTAATCAGTATCATGCTAGAGAAAGTCTTAATTTTTTACAAAATACAAGTCGTACCACCAGATTCAGATCAGCCTTAAGATTAGCCGTGTTTAGGGAGAACGCAGCCCGTCCATTCCTGTTTGTGGTTCGATTTAACAGCAGTTTGTTGGGCCAGTTGCTCCCCTCCAAGAGATATACAGCTTTGTTTATAAAGGACACCATTGCAGATTGACACCATTACATCTGCAAGAGAAAGTCCAAACAAGCAGTGAAGAATATCAACTTTGTGGCTTAAAGTGGATGTCTTGTAAAGATGATAAAGAGTATATGGTTCAGATCAGCCAATAGCTCACCTGTTCCCTCCTCAGTAACGTTTACATTTACAAGAAATGTGTCTTGCATTTGGTCTTCAAATTTGGTGTTGAAAAACACTGACGCATCAACAGTAATAGAGGCATAGCCCGTAGCATTCATCTGGTAGGAGAACAAAGATACAATTAAGTCAAGCACAGGCAAAAGGATAAAAAAAAAAAAAAAAAACAACTGACCAACCACAAGACAAGAAAAATAAACCATCACTCACCTGGCAAAAGACTCAACTTTCAGTCCCATAACTGCAACACGTTTACGGTCACGTCAAACTTGGGCAAAACTAAACCAGAAACAAAGCGCTTTAGATTAAGGCCTCAGATCTGTCATTGAACTTCCCTTACACAACAACTTACCGTATTTTTTCCACCTCAAAAACTTGGGAGACTAGTGTTGGGACTCTTCACTCCATGGCTACTCCATTCTGCGGTGCCTGGGTCTTTGTGAAGGATCGGACGGACAAACGCACGCACGGACAAACGCACGCACAAACGCACGCACGCACGGACGGACGGACGGGCGCCCGTCCTTCATATTAAAAGATCACAACACAAGACTACATTTTTCCATTTTAGCTTTAAGCCACGTACCAATTTCTAGAGCAAAAATCAAACTAACAGATATACCGACACTGAAGTTGCGATAAAAATTCAGGCCCCTGTACTTCAGACACTGGGATAAACTGAAGTGGCATTCTAATCAGAAGTGCCACACACTGAAATATCCAGATTAAAAGCCCAAACAAAAAACCTGATTGAGGCACACAGACAGCCTCTCAGCTCTCAGACGTCTTCCTGGCTCCATGATCCGGATGGTCTGATCTACCACGCAGAGATCCTGCTTGAGCAGAAACCGTCAGAACGTTTCCCTCCACAGGCACAGCCGTAGCTGGAGAAAACTGCAGACACCTGGAACAAGGACCAACAAGCTGTAGGACACACCAACATTCCCAAATTGAAAAATAGCCACATCATACAGTACCTGGTTCTGGAAATACATTTCAGTCCCAAACGGCACACTAGCAGCAACTACATTCTCACTGGGAAGAACGCTGTAGACCAGAATCTGCACTGCTGGAGCCAGATCAACGCTGACAGACAACTGGAACATCACAGAGCCACTTGTGACTGAATCACCAGCCTTTGCTTTAACCGTCTGAAATCCATGGAGGATGATCACTCCTTTGGATAAGACCTGACAGAAGACATAGGTGTGCAAGTTGTGGAACAAACAGACCAGCAAACTTAACTACAAAACTAATGTCCACTCACCATATAGATTGTCAGCGCTGTAGCTACCAGCCTCTCCAACAAATGAATACGCCACGGTCACTGGAAACGAAGCACCACATTTGAGCTGCTGATTGAGCTTCATTATAGTTAGGAGAAACAGGTAGGAGAAGCTGAACAAACCTTGTATCTGTAGTGAAGTATGGCGATTTAGAACCATAAAAAAAACCTCTGGATTATCACTCGCCTGGGGAAGATCAAACTTAATCAGTATCATGCAAGAGAAAGTCTTAATTTTTACAAAATACAAGTCGTACCACCAGATTCAGATCAGCCTTAAGATTAGCAGTGTTTAGGGAGAACGCAGCCCGTCCATTCTTGTTTGTGGTTCGATTCAACAGCAGTTTGTTGGGCCAGTTGCTCCCCTCCAAGAGATATACAGCTTTGTTTATAAAGGACTCCATTGCAGATTTTGACACCATTACATCTGCGAGAGAAAGTCCAAACAAACAGTGAAAAATATCAACTTTGTGGCTTAAAGTGGATGTCTTGTAAAGATGATAAAGAGTACATGGTTCAGATCAGCCAATAGCGCACCTGTTCCCTCCTCAGTAACGTTTACATTTACAAGAAATGTGTCTTGCATTTGGTCTTCAAATTTGGTGTTGAAAAACACTGACGCATCAACAGTAATAGAGGCACAGCCCGTGGCATTCATCTGGTAGGAGAACAAAGACAAAATTAAGTCAAGCACTGGCAAAAGGATAAAAAATAAATAAAGAACTGACCAACCACAAGACAAGAAAAATAAAGCATCACTCACTTGGCACAAAACTCAACTTTCAGTCCCATAACTGCAACGCTGTAGGTCTGCGGTGTGTTTACAGTCACATCAAACTTGGGCAAAACTAAACCAGAAACAAAGTGCTTTAGATTAAGGCCTCAGATTTGTCATTGAACTTCCCTTACACAACAACTTACCGTATTTTTTTCACCTCAAAGACTTGGGAGACTAGTGTTGGGACGCTTCACTCCATGGCTACTCCATTCTGTGACGCTGTGGCCTAGTCGCGGTCACCTAGGTCTTTGTGTCTCACTGCCTCATTGCTTCTCTGGCTACGTGGTGTGCTCCACCTCCATCACCTCCAGTAATCCCCTTGGTAGTGTTGGGACTCTTCACTCCATGGCTACTCCATTCTGCAACGCCGCTGTGGGATGCAGTCCTGACTGTGGGCTGGGTCTTCATCTGCCCTTCCCTGCTCAAGGCCATCCCCCCTGGCTGTCACAACCACCTGCACCAACCTTTCCTCCAGCTACGGACGGCTCGGACGGACGGCTTGTTCGGACGGACGAATGGGACGGACGACACGGACGGACGACACAGACGGACGGACGGACGACACGGACGGCCGGACGACACGGACGGACGGACGGACGGACGGACGGACGACACGGACGGACGGACGGACGGACGGACGGACGGATGGACGGACGGACGGACGACACGGACGGACGGACGGACGGACGGACGACACGGACGGACGGACGGAAAGACGGACGACACGGACGGACGGACGGACGACACGGACGGACGGACGGACGACACGGACGGACGGACGGACGACACGGACGGACGACACGGACGGACGGACGGACGACACGGACGGACGGACGGACGACACGGACGGACGGACGACACGGACGGACAGACGGACGGACGACACGGACGGATGAGAAAAAAGCCGAAGAGAACCATGCAAAAGGTTGGTGCAGGTGGTGGTGACAGCCAGGGAGATGGCCTTGAGCAGGGAAGGGCAGACGGAGACCCAGCCCACAGTCAGGACTGCATCCCACGGCGGCGGCACAGAATGGAGTAGCCATGGAGTGAAGAGTCCCAACACTACCAAGGGGATTACCGGAGGTGATGGAGGTGGAGCACACCACGTAGCCAGAGAAGCAATGAGGCAGTGAGACACAAAGACCTAGGCAACCGCAACCGCCCCTTGAACTTCAACCTTCAGCACCAAATCTCCATCTACCCGAGGAGCCTGTAGAGAAGTTCAGTTAACATACAAGAAACCAAGCTTATTTTCACAATCTATAAAGTTTAGTACACAACTCCAACATAAAAACAGGATGCTTCTGTTCACGTCAAAGCCTAATGGTACTTACCTGGTTCTTTAAGTCCATCAACAGCAAAGCGAAAAAGGGTGAAGATGAGCTTCTTCCAAACACAAATCTCTCTCTCTTACAGCCACGAGGACAGCTCACCCAAGACTAACCCTTATCAAGCCGCTCTTCAGACTCTAATATATCAGGAACGCATTCATCTCGTTAATTCAATTAATTAACCACCACCTGGCAGTAATTAATGTTATCATTTGATTAGGAGTTCCAACTGGCATTGATTTTAAACACGACACATTATGAGGTTAGCGGATGCATTTTCTAGTTGCCATATAACACTATAGAATTTAAAAAATATAGCCTATGTATTTAAGATATTACTGAACATTTATTTAACCATAGCAGAAGTAAGTTTCTTGTGTTAATTTTTTTTAACAAGTCTGATAATATTTTATCTTATATCAGTTGAGACAGTTCTTGAATGCTGGTGTGACAGCAGAAGACAGACCAGCCAGGTTTAAGGGTGCTTCTCATTTCTTATTTGTGCATCCTCGTTTCCTTTCCTTGTTTCCTTTCCTTGCGTCTCAGCTCCACCCCCTGTAGGACGCGAGGGAAGGAAGCGAGGAAAGGAAACGAGGACAGAGGAATCGAATAAAAGCTTTTTTATATACATTGGAATACTTGATCACTCGAGTGTCACTCCACAGTGTCATAAGCAGCGCTAAAAGGATCTCCCTTATGCTGTTGAAGTTTGGTTATTTAATAAATTCATAATAAATAATAATAAAGATAGGCTATACTGTTGAAATATCTGAGATGTGTGGTTTATATAAACTGCGAAGGTAAAGTATAAATTAAACCGATTGTGACCAATGTGAAGGGGGAGGAGAATTTGCACGTGCGTCACGTTTAGTCAATATAACAGTTCCGCGTAGGATGCACCTGTGTATCCTCGTTATGACTCCTCAGGAAGCCTCCTCACTCCTCGATCCTCGACTCCTCACGGTGCAATTAATTGAGATGTCCTTCAAGATGGCTGAGCTCGATCGGTTTCCGGGTCATAGGAGGGAGGACGGAGGAGCGAGGAGACGAGGAGGGATATTGAGAAGCACCCTAAATCCTATATTTAAGAGAACTTTGTCCCAGTTGTGCAGGCGGGGCATGTTGTCACTCTGCGTTGCAATGAGCAAATGATTAGAATTATTGCTTTTCTACTCTATATTTGTATGAACTCTATTGAGAAACCATGAGAAAAGGGTGAATAAATTCTGAGATTCAATGTTCAGAAATTATAAATAGAGGGTATGCGCGTGACGTCACCGTTGGCCGGAGTGCCTGCAGTTCCGCACAGTGAGTCTCATTCATAAATATGTAAATATGAGAGTGATTTGCGCGTAAAGAGACCTTCCCGAAAACTCTTCTCCTGATTCACAAATACATCGTAAACGTCAGATGTCATGGTGAAATGTGTGTGTGTTAATGAATTCCAACCTGTTCATTCTCAATTACCAAAAATCAAGTCCATCATCTACGACTGACATCTAGGCATATAACATGAATGCGAATTTGATTTGATTAACTTCATTGTCTGTTCAGAAGTAGTGGACAGAAATTCATCTTTGACACTGGCACAACAACCACGTTACAAACCACATAAACATGTATATCTCAATGTAAAAAAAAAAAAAAAGACGAAGGAGTAAAGAAACAAAATAGGCTTTATTATAAGCCACCAACTAAAAGACAGGAAATTGCTAAAGAACCGGACAAGAGACCGGACAATGAAACACAGGAAACTGGGGGCTTAAATAAATTGGGGATTATTGACTGAAAAAGCCAGGTGACTAAACATGTGTGTAAGACTAATTAACAAACGAGGAAACTAACTAGCAAATCATGCAGGCAAAATGGGAGCAGAACACTGAGAAAACAAAAACAAAACCGATTACACATAGCATTACACCCCGTGCTGCGTCATAACAACTTCCAATTGAGCAAGGAGGGAGGGGGCTCTGGAGGAGGGCAAGCACATACACGTGACATCACCATTGCAGATACCCACACTTGCCATTGCAGCAGGCTAGCTAGGAATATGGAAAAGCTTACATTCAGTGGATGGAAATATCGCCTTTACTTTGACTTTGTCAGTAGAAAGATGGAAAGAACACTTTTGTCAAATGTAAGTTTTGACATTCTTTACTTTTTTGGAATGTGGCTTACCCATTCACATCCCTTTGATTCCGATATACATTGTACCTACCTACCTAAAAGTCTTTATAGAAAAAAAACCCAAAACATTTTCTTTACATGAATTCTTTTGACAACATATACATCATGAAATATAAACGTACCTGGGTAGCAGGTAAATTCTAGCTTTAGCATCAAGCAACACATGAAAATCCATGAGATCATTACAACGCTTTTACTCAAAACTCACTGTAAACCACCATCTACTGTTTGTAATATGATGAACTTCATCATCGTAAGAGACAAAGTGGTCTCATCAACACGTAAAGTACTTCTTAAATGAAAGGCTGCATCCTAGTAAGGCTATATCAGCTGCCACGTCATCAAGCGCCGCTGAAGGCCATCTGAATTCAAAGAATCCTTGGAATGCAACCTTCATTTCATGCCCTTCATTCAGCTCATTTTGAAGGATGCATGCATCATGTGAGGGGCTGCTGTGTTCACTTTCATTTTGTATTTATTTATTTTACGTAACTTATTGAAGTCTTTGAATGTTCGCCGGTTCCCGCCTCCTTCCCACAACATCTAATCAAGCCTTGATACAGAAATGTAAGACAAAAATAATGCTTTCGGAGATGAAGTCATAGGCCCTACATGTTATCTTTTGTTTTGTAAATAAATCACTTAACACTAAACTCCCAATAGTGCAGGCCACTGGGAGACCACAGACGGTTGTTATTCACTATTGCATTGATAGGAAGCCAGATAATATAAAGATTTTTAATACAAAGTATTTTTCCTAAATTAAGTTGTTTTTGAGGTTTAATTAAGGACTGTATATTACTGGAGTAGGTGGATTTGTATCCGCACTGGTGTGTCGGTAAGAACACATACGACTCAGAGTTTGCAGCAAAGTTTGTAGTTTACTCTTGATTCAAGTTGAATAGGAAGTGGTAACAGTAAGTGGTCTGAAAATAATACAGAATAACAATAATATTAGAGATACAGCTAAATCAATAACATTCATCAAGGCAATAGAACTGGTAACATTATTGAAGTTCCTAGATAATCCACAAGGTGGCGCTCAAGGGACGCACATGGAATTAGTTATGTAGGACGCCATTACAGTGTCATTTCGGGCAGTAACGTATATGAAACAGCACATAA